AGATGTCTGAGATAAATTTATCATCTCTATTGTTTGTATTTAATATGTAAAAGCAATCCCGTAAGCAAAGCTTATGTTCCTAGAAAGGCAGAGGATTTAAACATTCAGGAATTAATCACTCTGAATGCTAGGGAATTAAAAAACCCAAACCAGGCAGACTGGCACCTCACCTGCTAAAGGGCAAGGGGTAAGTGTTCGGAGCATGGAGGCAAAACAAACAAATGCTTTTGTTGTGGGAGAAAGGGGACAAAGCACCAGAAACAGCAGCTCTTACAGAAAATACTTCTGTGGCAGAGATTCAAAATGCAGCTGGATAACATCCTTGGGGGGCCAGGTCAGTGGGAGACAGCTGAAGGTAGGTGGGTTGGTGAGTCAGAGGCAGGAAACACTGTCACTCTCCAAGGCAATTAGGTTTCAGAACTGTAAGTTGGCTGGCCCATTCAGCTACACTTATTTTTTTTGTCAAGCACAGCTACTTGGCCTTTGTCTGTCAGTGGAGCCAAATCTGTCATTATCCTTGGCTTTCATGTTAAATCTCTTTTATTAATTAGGCAGACACAGATCTCCTGCTCTTCACAGCCCTACAGGTAGCCTTCGTAAGTCTCAGGGTGTCTATTGCTACAAAGAATCTGTGCCCTGTAGAAAGATGAAAGGTTTTGACAACATATCTTATTTGGGTTAAAAAAACACAGGGCTTAGATCACTGCAAAGCCCATGGGATATACTTTGAGGTTTTCTTCATGCTGTGTGGATATATTTACTAAGATATCTTTTGTTTTCAATAGCAAAGCTGAATATAAAATTTTGATCTCCATTTTGAGGTCTTGTTATAAAGAAGCTAGAAAAGAGTTCTTTTAAAAAGAACATGCTATCATTAATCTTCTTTTACATTTACTTCTCATGTACACTAACTGTTCAAGAAAAGGGAACACACAAAAAAAAAAAAAGGAAGGAACTTGGCTGCAACAAAGCATTTGTCTGTACTAAATTGGTTTAGTCCTTAAAAGCAAAAATCCTCTTGTACTGTCTTTTTCCAGACATGTTCAAAAAGTCAGACCTGACCATACTGTAAGCCACCAGATAAGCTTACGCTAGGACAGTACCCAGCACATTCAGAAGGAAGCACAGGGAGCACTGGTGCATGTACCATCTGCACAGCAGTGCCCTAACACTTCACGTTCTGCCAGCACTGACAGTCCTGTCACAGAGCCCTTTGGTGTGGCGTGGCATCTGTGCCACACTGTGCCAGTGCAGCTATTGCAGAGATTAAACTGGCCTAGAAGCTCACAGGGCCTATTGTATACACAGACATGTCTGCACAGCAAATTTTAACATTTACCATCAACAACGGGGGACATTATATATATAACTATATATAATATAGCTACATATAGTTACATCGCTTAGGCACCAGCACCTGATGCTGTGTCCAGCCAGTCAGGAACAAAGAAAAGTTTTGCGTCCTTAAAGAAAGTCCAGTTTAATTGTCTCTGAAATAGGCATCAACAACAGTGGACTCCAACAAGCTTTTGAATTGATTACTGGCAAAAAGCTTGACACACACATATGTGGTGTGTTTTTGATATCATATTCATGATCTGGACTGAAATGTTTTATCTGGACCCTGAGCCCACAGAAACAGAGAAGAAAGAGCAAAGAAATTCTCAAGGGGTCACCTCATGTGCCCTGCCCCTCCTCCAAGGTAGGACCAACTAGACCTGAGCAGCACAGTGCACATGTTTGCCCATGTGGGCATTTCTTCATCAGGGACTACAGCAGAGACAGAAGGATGATCAGAAAACACAAGAACTAAAGAAGTAGGGGGTTTATGTTCTCAGAAAGCTTAGAATGCTGAATTGTAGTGTGTCCATATCTTCGTCACCTGATTTTTTTTTAGTTCCCCCGCAGAAAGATCAATCCACAAATCAAAGAATGTCCTTTAAGGACATATCTGTATTAAAACATAAATTAGGCAAAGGCATTTGACCAGGGACATGAATTATAGTAGATGTACACATTCAGACATTGTCTAATTCAACTAGAATCAGCAGATTTAGCCTTACAAGTAATATGGCCCCGATTATTACAATACAAAAAAATATATGGTGTATTTACAGCCTTGGTCTCTCCAGCTGTGTTGGTTTAGGTTTTATTACATCAGTAATAACAATTTATGTGATACTCTGAATAACGTGCTATTAAAAATTCAGTGCAGTATATACTGTTACCCATGGGATTTAAACTGTGGGAGCTGTGTATTATTCTCTACTTTGCTATTTCTACAGGAGTGAAGATTACTATAAAAATTGTTAGGTTATATACACTGTGTGAATTCCTGCTCTGCTTGAATCCAGGTGAAGAGAAGAAATAGTTCAGTCCAGTCTGCCTCAGGGGAAGGGTCTCAAGGGTCTTAGTCTTGCAATCTAAGGTTACACTGATCACACATTCAAGCATGAACAATAACATCAATGTGCTTTTAGAAGTCTTTGAAGAATGCTAATAGATTTGTGAGGCATAATCTTCCTTAAAAGGATCCATTTGATGCTTCTAGAGAGTATCAGCTTGATCTGTGTGTCCATTTATTTTATTCTTTACAAGAGTTCATCTAATTTTGCTGGCATAGAAGTCACACTGACAGTTTCTATAGTCCCTGTGATCATCCTTGAAGGACTCTCTTGAAAGACCAGTTAACCAGTGGTACAATTCCTATGTTCTGTTTTGCTGGCATTAGGATCAGGTTCAACGAAAAACAACACACTGGCACTAGCATTGCAGTAGCTGAACATATGAATCCCTTGGTGGAAACAATGCACAGATCCAGCAATTAGTTACTCTTTAATTTGTCAATGTCTTGATGTCTTCCCTACTGACAATTCATTTTAGGACAGCTCCTCACCCTCAGTCCACCTAATATTTGGTTCTTTAGCAAGGCAAGTAATTATTTTAGCTTTTTAGCTGTACAGCTAGCCACCCTGAATGCTTCTTCTACACTTGCATCCTCTATAGCTTTACTTAATGTCTTGCAGGACTCCTCTGGTGATGGAATTTGAAAAGGTTTATATTATTACTTCCACATTCTTGGAAAAATCTTTAAATCTTTTTGGTCCACTCTGTTGTGGTTCTACTTATAATATGACAGATTCTGTCCTCCCTACTTATATACAACTTCAATTTTTGAAAGATGTCTACATTTTCTTCCCTGAGACACCCCAGCTGCTGATAGTTATGGGTGGCACTGCCAGTATCCTTAACCATTATGATGCCGGGAGCTGGGCCCAGGTAAAGGAAATCAGTAGAAACCACTGATCAGTGCATTTTCCTTCTGTTGTTCAACCAGGTTTCTGGTCGTTTTTTTTATTATTCTCATTTTCCTGGAAGAGC